CTGGCTGCAAAATGGAGGCCTGGGCTGTCTCTGCTGCTACCCATGAAGCCCTGCGAGAGCCATAGAGTTCTAGAGGAGGACTTCAAGATAGACCTTACCCACCCAGCCTTTGGACCGCTCTACGCCTGCGCCGGCCTCAGTGGGCGTGGCTGGGGTGGATTTTCAAAGGGTATTTTTTTTTTTTTTTTTTTTTTTTTTTCTGGCCAGTGGAAGCAAGGGGCCTGCATGCAAGGAACAGGGATTGGACTTTGCCCTTGATATCCTTGATTTGGGACTTTGCAGTACGTTAAAAACAAACAAATTTGGGACTTTGCAGTATGTTAAAAACAAACAACAACAAAAAAAAAGGTCTCCTACACTGGACATTGGTGGCACACGCCTTTAATCCCAGCACTCGGGAGGCAGAGGCAGGCGGATCTCTGTGAGTCCCCATCCAGCCTGGTCTATAAGAGCTAGTTCCAGGCTCCAAAGCTCCAAGGAGAAACCCTGACTGGGGGAGGGAGAAAAAGCCTCCTACACTTAAAAAACTCCCTCCAGTCACTTGACATGTCTGGTTGGTTTGCAGTTTGGCTAAGTAAGTATCAGCTTTCCCGAGCCCGTGTCTCACTGAGGTTTGTAGATCAGTTCTGTTTTGAAAAGTCAAGGAAGCATCTACGTGTGTGGCTTGGCATGTGTGCTCTGGTAAACTTCGGTAGATGAGAGCCGAGCCGTGAAAGGGTGATGAAGATGTCGTTTGTACATATTAGACGGTAGCTGCTTTAAAATATGAAACTTGGCCTAAGGAAATGATTTCTTTTCTCAAAATGGTATCTGCAAAGATGATTGAAATGCCAGCTGAATGTTTTAATTTAAGGTTATTGGTGTTTTCTAATTATAAAATGGCCAAACACTGTAAAGACTATGTTCTGAACAATCTGTTCATTTAACTGATAATTAGTTTAATCTTTTTTATCTTGACATTTGGGGGGAGGGGGGTTCGAGACAGGCTTTCGCTGTGGCTTTGGAGGCTGTCCTGCAACTAGCTCTTGTAGACCAGGCTAGTCTCGAGCTCACAGAGAACTGCCTGCCTCTACCTTCCAAGTGCTGGGAGTAAAGGTGTGAGCCACCACAGCCCGGCTTTTTTTAAAAAAATTCTTTTAATAATTTATTTTATGTGCATTGGTGTGAAGGTGTCTGATTCCTTAGACCTAGAGTTACAAACTCTTGTGAGCTGCCATGTGGCTGCTGGGAACTGAACCTGGGTCCTCTGGAAAAGCAGCCAGTGCTCTTAACCGCTAAGCCATCTCTGCAGCCCTTTGATGTTTGATTTTTTGTAAGATTATAGAGATATGAACCAAAAGGTAGTAGAGAAAAAGAAGTTACAATTTGCAAACAGGTTTTGTATTTTTCCAGGATTTTTTTAAATTATCTTTTTTTATTTCTTATTATTTATCCTTTATGATATTTTCACAAGCCCTTTGTCTTCTGGGACAAAATCCTCCCAGTGTGAGTTTATCCTGATAACACCCCGTTTTTTAATAGAAGAAAACAAATAATCTATTTATTAACTCTTGTTATCTAAAGATTTACAGAATACCCATGTTAGGATACAGCAATTAAAACTGAGAGTATATAGAATTTTCCCACAGAAACTTGAGACTCTTTCTTTTGTGATGGGTAACATTGCATCTACCATTTAGACTTACTATACTTGAGAAACCAAAGAGCAAAAAATGCCTCTAGTGTGTGTGTAAGCCACTAACTTGTTCAGGCTGTACCATAGCAGCCCACTTCCGTTTTCCTAGACGATAAAGACTCTTCTGAAATTAACTGATCTTGTAAAATTTGCTGTTCTAAGCAAGACAGTGGGTCATAAGACTAATTACTATTTCTGCTCTTGAATCAAATTTTGCTTAATCTGCTCATAAAGATGACTAGGTCAGCTACAAGGGATAGATATTAAAATTAGACCTTGTATACATATAAACAAAATACGTATATGTAATCTTATGTTTTTTTCCTTTATAAGCCCTGGGCTGATATGGCTAGGGGCTGTGTCTTGGGAGCACTCCTAGGTATAGTCCCGATAAGCCCTGGGCTGATATGGCTAGGGGCTGTGTCTTGGGAGCACTCCTAATTTTGGTCCCAACCCCACATTGGATGCCAATGCTGACATAAAAAGCTTATTCTTATAAAAATTTATTTATGGTTATGGAGAATGTCTGAGTGACTCCAGACCCATAACACTTTGATCCCTTTTTCAGTCAGGTGGTCTGGGATTCTTTACTATGTTCCTGGGTGTAGAAAAAAATGATATTCTGTCTCCAACCTGGGCCTACAGAATGAGAGGAGTTATATGGTCTTATTTTATTTTAGATAAATGTGCAAAAGAGGAAAAGAAAATAACCTCTAAGGTACTGTATAGAGTCCTGATCTAGACAGAAGAATGGTCAAGGAAGACTAATCATAAATTCTATACAGGAACTGATAAATGGGGCTCTATATATGAGAAGTCACTGAGTACCAGGAACAGGAAATCAATAAGGCTGCTGGGATTGTTTAGGTGCTTCACATATAACAACTCAACCATCTCACCAATTAGGGACTCTGATTAGTGTGAGGCTATTGAAGAGCTTCACACAAATGTTCTCATTGCCTGGAGTATGATGAATAGACCTGGCCAATCAAAAATTTATGCAAGGACATACACTGCAAAAAAGTTAGATGATAACCTGAGCATGATTTAATATGCTTTACCTTATGAATATGTACAGTGTGCCCAGAATCTATCATAAGCTTGGGGAAGAGAGGCATCTGTGAGGTAAGAGTAATAAAATGACCAATCAGAGTCAGTGTGATATTAGGTACTTCTACCTGTCTTGACCTTGCCCTGTGTTTCCAAAATTATAAGATTTTCTTCATAGATAAGGTGGTATCATCATCAGGCCTACCTAAATAAACTTGTTGAAAAATCCAAAAGGTAACCAACTCTGGGTTACTTGTCCTGTGCTTGTTCTGGAATTTAAGTATTATGTCCTACAAAAAAGCTAGAAGGCTTATTTACTGTACTCATGCACCTAGCCTCCTCATAGTTATAAGACCAAGTCAGAAGCTGGAGAGATAAAGGGAGGCCAAGCTGACATCCTTTGTGTATACTCTTTTGCCTAGCCTTAAAAATATAAGAGGGGATCCACACTGCCAGAGATACTAGTAAACAAAGAAGACCCTAAAAGAGAGAAACTTTGTCCCCTGGAGAAGGGGAAAGGGTCACCATCCCCTGAGCAAATTGAGAACATGGGAAGAGGGGGGAGGAAGCTACAAGAGTGAGAAGGGAAGAAAAGGAAGGATGCAGAGGTCATGAGGAAGCAGAAATTTTGAGTCAGGTGTAGATTAGAAGAAAGGACATATGACAGGTAGGATTTTAGTTGGGGGGTGGTAGAGGAGGAAGGGAGGGAGAAGGGTACTGGGATCGTATTCAATCTTGTTTGTAATTCAAATATTAAAAAAAACAAGAGAAGGGAAGAAAAGGAAGGATGCAGAGATCATGAGGGAGCAGAAAGGTTGAGTCCGGTGTAGATTACAAGAAAGGACATATGATAAGTAGGATTTTAGTTGGGGACATGGCAGGGGAGGAAGGGAGGGAGAAGGGAACTGGGATTGTCATGTAATTCAATCTTGTTTGTAATTGAAATATATAAAAAACAAAAACTAAAACAAAATATAAGAGGGGAGTCCATAAGAAATGTACAAACCAAGTAATCCCCTCATTTCTAGAATTTTTGAATATTACCTACCATAACACCATAGTACAGTCATCCACAGTGTGCATTATGTTACGTCAAACAAAAAATAAAACAAAACTCAAACCAAAAAAAACATACAATTTGCCATTCTTGAAGAGGGTTGGAGTAAATATGGGCTGCATGCAAGGAGAAATTCGAGGGTTTCTATTTGAAATTTTTGTGTTAATAAATTCACATAAAAGTTTAAGAAACAAAGACATTAGTGGCATGAAAATAAAAACGGATTAGGGACAAGGCTCCATGAGTTAAATGCTTGCTTCACTGACCCAGACCAGCAATATCTGGAGTCTGGACAGGCTCTCATTGGGGATTACCAGAAATGTAAAAGAAAGAAAACCCGTTATATCAAGCCATGTGAGAGATCACATGGGAGAAAGGTATCAGAATTGACAAAGAATAGTGAATCATTAGTAAATATCCAGATGGGTAGATAGATCCTTCCACCTTACTGCATGAGCTATTGGGGGATCAGGGATATAGGCCTAATACCTCCCGCTCCTTCATTGGGGCAGTAAAAGTGGGGGTTAGGGTGCAGGTTTTTTTTTTTTTTTTTAACTTTTCTTAACTATGGTGATTCTCTTGACTATAAGCAATTTAGTCTGACCCTAAGTTTGCAGTGGTCTTTTCGAGGGTTCTCTTGTGGTCTCTCAGAAGCTGTCCAATCACAGATTTCTCACCTGAAGGCTGAGCTGGAACAGGTGGCACCTCTTTATTTTATTTTATTTTTTTGGCTTTGTTTTTTACCAGGGAACCCACCGTGGCCCATCAGCTGTCTGTGGAGAAAACATACTCATCCTCACCCCCTATTAGTACTGGGTATTCTGTCCAGAACCTGGCACAGGAATGATGGGGGAGGTCCTACTGTATATATGATTCTCTCATTGGTTGATAAATAAAGTACTTTTGGCTAATAGGAAAACAGGACAGGTGGGACTAGGAGTAAAGGAGGATTCTGGGAAAGGTAGGAGAAAGCACAGAGTCACCATGTGAGCCCGGGGAAGACAGGACACTTCTGCTGATGTCCGATAAGATACGTCTTATAAAATATATAGCTTTATGATAATTAAGACTGAGCTAGTAGATGAGAAAACCTAGTCATTGGTCAAGCAGCATTTCTATTAATATAAGTCTCTGTGTGTTACTTGGGACCATA